CTTTCTAGCTCAGAGATTGTGGCTTCTGGCTGTACTGCTCCTGACAGAAGCAGAGAGGGATCTCTTCGGGGTCTCTTGTATAAGCTCTTACATAGGTCATGAAGGCTCTGCTCTCATGACTCAATCACCTCCCAGAGGCCCCACCTCTTAACACCATCACCTTGGAGGTTAGGCTTTCAACATGAGTTTTTGGAGGATATAAACATTCAGTCCATAGGGGGCAGACCAGGCACCCAGGCCTCCTCCTCACCTGCGGCTCAGACTTTGTTTCCAATAGGGAGAGGATGGGTGTGCAGAAGCACATCTTACAGATGTGGACACCAAGATCTCTACTCACTAGCTGGGTGACCTTAGGCAACAGTCCTTACTCTCAAGCCTCAGTGTTCTCATCTGTAAAATGGGTGTAAGGATTTAGTCCCCACAGAGCTGATCTCTGTGGCCACCATTCTTCACTGCCATTCCCTGAGGGACATATGACTCACATCCAGTTATACATTACAATCAACACTCTGTTGGGCACATCTGTATATACGGAAGTGCTATCCAAACTCCCAAGCCTTCGCTGTAAGTTTTCTCATCAAATTCTCCCCCACAACCCAACCAAGCCAGCCTTGTGACTGTCCCCATTTTACAGATGAAGAAATTGAGGCTTAGAGAGTCCAAGTGATCACCCAGCTAAGAGGATGCAGAACACAGAATTCTAAACCTGTCGGGGTGACCCCAGAGCCTTCATTCTTTTTTTTTTTTTTTTTAAGATTTTATTTATTTATTTGACAGAGAGAGAGATAGCGAGAGCAGGAACACAAGCAGGGGGAGTGGGAGAGGGAGAAGCAGGCTTCCCGCCGAGCAGGGAGCCCGATGTGGGACTCGATTCTAGGACCCTGGGATCATGACCTTAGCTGAAGGCAGATGCTTAATGACTGAGCCACCCAGGCGCCCCAGAGCCTTCATTCTCAATTAAGGATCCCCCTCAGACAATGGTGTTCTGTCTTTGAAGTGGGGAGATTGTGATCAGGTCTTATGACTTCACTTTTCAATGACTCAGTTTCCTCATAATAAAATGGGGATAATAACAACAATAAGAGTATCTAGCCCAGGGCTGTCACGAGAATGAAATGAGTTAATCTATGGAAAATGTCCAGAGCTGCGCCATCCAGGACAGAGATCACTGGCCACATGAGGCTATTTAAATTTTAATTCATTAACATTACAGAAAGTTAAAATTTAGTTCCTCAGTGACACTTGCCAGATTTCAGGTGCTCAGTAGCCTCATGTGGCTAGTGGTGACCATTTTGGACAAGTGCAGGTAGCATGTCTCCATCATCACAGAAAATTTCATCAGTCAGCACAGGTACAGAGGGGTGTCTGACATGAAACAAGCCTTCACAACTGGTAATCATATTATTGTTAATCCTAGATCATTAGCTATTACGATTACACTATTGTTCTATTACTATTAATCCTCTTCTAGCCTACTGCTATTTTACTATTATTTTTAAAAAGTTTTTATTCATTTGAGAGAGAGAGGGCGAGCAAGAGCATGAGCAGTGGGGAGGGGAAGAGGGAGAGGGAGAAACAGACCCCCGCTGAGCAGGGAGCCCAACACGGAGCTTTATCCCAGGACCCCAGGATAATGACCTGAGCCCAAGGTGGCCGCTTAACTGACTGAGCCACCCAGATGCCCCTATTTATTATTTTTAATCCTTTAACTATTAAGTGCTATTATTAGTCCTGGAACTGTTAACTATGATTATACTATTATTATTATTATAGTCCTATAATATATAGTATATTATAGACTATTATTAGTCCTGGGATTGTTAACTATGATTGTTATTATTATTATTTTTTAAGTTTATTTTTTTAGTCATCTCCACACCCGGTGTGGGGTGGGGCTTGAACTCATGACCCCGGGCTCAGGAGTCACATGCTCTTCCCACTGAGCCAGCCAGACGTCCCAAATATGTTACATTTATTACTAATCTTATTACTATCCTACCGTTAGTTGTTATTTATTGTTCTTAATTCTGATACCATTTGCTACTATGGTAACTATGAATCCTAGACCTGTTATTATATTTATTGTTGCTCCTGATATCCTATTGTTATTTTATATTTACTATTAGTTCTGTAATAGCTAGCAGTAACTATTGTTATTTTTAACGAGCTCTATTAACTATCGTTACAGTATTATTCTATTGTTACTGATTCTTTTATTGTTAATCCCGTACTGGTTAACTTTTGTGTTGTTGTTATCAGTACCAATTGTTAATATCATGTTAATGGTATTAATAAGCATTTACTAATGTTGTCATTGGCTGCTGATTCGTTACTATTATTAATCCTGAGAGTCTCCAGCCCCCACTTGGCAGGCAGTAGGCGTTCTCCTGGTGGGTGTGAGAGCAAGGGCGGTGGGACCTGCTGGCTGAGACTCTCTCACTTGCTTCAGGGGAATTCGGATAAACCTCCTCCTCACTTGGGCCCCAGGGACCTGTGAAGTGGGAGGAGCTACTGCAAGAAGAGGAAAATCGCAGTTCAAAGCGGGGGTGCTCTCAAATCTAGGGCAAGGCAACAGAAGGGGTTTTCGCTGTAAACCCTTTGCCTTTCTAAGGAAAGGCAGAAACAGAGAGAAGTCTCGATCGCGGAGAGAGCGCTCGAAACAGCCAACTGGACTCTGGAGGGGACACCTGGCAAGAAGAAATTAAGCGAGAAGGGAAACCACTTTGGGCCTCAGAGAAATCTGGCACGAGAGAAGGCTTGCGCTATGATTAAAAAGGGGAAGAACCACAAGTCTCCATTTAAGTCAGCAAAACTGCTGTCTGGGCAGCGAGAGGGAAAGTGCTTGTGGCTGGCAGATTTTAGCAACCCGTTGACAACGCTGTGTACCTGCTGCTGTCGGTGCCACCTGGGAGCTGTGTGACTGCAGGCAGGTAACTGGTCTCTCTAGGCCTCAGTCTCCCCAGGTGCCATATAGAGATAATAATATGGAATGATCGGTTTAGGCTTCCCTAATACCTCACCCCCCTCGTCCCACATCCGCAGATGCTGTGTGAATGTTACTGGTGCACCTTCTAATGGGTTGCCAACTCCAGACTTTGCAGCACAAATCCAAAGCTCAACAGGTCCTTCAAAAACCCCCGTGGCTCCCTATTGCTCTCAGGAGAATTCCTAAACTTGCCACCAGGACCCTTAAGCTTCCGTGTGGTGGGCCTGCCTTTCCAACTTTATCTCTTCCCGTCTGTAAGCCTGAGTATCACACTGTCTTCTTGACTTTCCTCAAATGCACCAAGCTTATTCCGACCTCAGGATCTTTGCACTCACTGTTCCTTTGGCCAGGAATGCCCTTCCTTTAGACGTTATTGTGCCCAGATGCTTCTTGCTGCAGGATGGGGGAAATGGGTAGTCTCGGCTCAAATGTTAGTTCCTCAGAGAGGTCCTCCCCAAGCCTCCAGTCTAAGACAGCCCCTTCCTACTGTTTATCTTTAACTGTTTTATCTTCCTCCCAATCCATTATCCCGTTTATTCATGTACTAATGCTCTGCGTCCCCTCGCCAGAATGTCAGCTCCACCAAGGGCAGGCATATTTGTCTGTCTTGTTCACTGCTGTGTCTCCAGCACCTAGAACAGTGCCTGGCACACTGTAGCCATTTAACAAGTATTTGTGGAAAGCACATGTTCATTGCTAGAGGTCTTTCAAGGTTATGGGATTTCAAGGATCCTGCAGCAGACCAGCCCTGATCCCCATCTGGGTGGAGTCTGGAAATCCCCATCTTCTGGGGAACCCCTTTCTGCATCTCCAAGGGCAGAACTCAAACCTGATTAACAAACACGCAGGTAGCAGTGCTTTCCCTTGGGCAAAGCCCAATGCTAAGTGCTTTAATGCATTGACTCATTTAATCCTCACAGTAACCCAGTGGAGCGGGTACTCTTACTATTTCCATTTCACAGATGAGTAAATTGAGGTATGGAGAAGTCAGGTCATTTGCCCAAGGTTAGTATGAGGGGGAGGCAGCAGACTGGAGGAGTATGTTGTCTGGGAAGGGGTGATGAGGTTCCTGCAAGCTGGGGGCCTAATCGACTGTTTCCTGTTGTGGGAGGGAGAGAAGAGTAGACATTCCTCTCTCCCCTCCCTCCCCTGTGTTGGGGGAAGGGCTGGCTGACTGTATGCTCCACCGCAGACTAGGGGGCACCCCACTGTCAACCTGACCCCACATAAGGCCTGTAGAGAAAATGAAAGCACGGGGGACAGCAGAGAGGGAGGCCCAGAGGTCATAGGTGCCAGCGGTCCGGGAGGGCTTCCTGAAGAAAGATGCACTCCTGGGGTGGGGCCCCCGAGAGTAGTGGCCCAATAGCGGTCGGTCTACCCAGGCACCCGCAACGGCGAGCCGAACCGAGGGTGGGGACAGAACCCGAATGGGGCGGGGCTAGGGCCGTGGTGGGTCGACTCAGCAGAGTCGCGGATAGTCGGGGCCGGGCGGGGTTGGGATCCTTCCCCTGGGGGTGATGAAAGCTGTGGTCGCTATTGCGCGGAGCCGCCCGGAGCGCGCAGATAACGCCTTGCAGGAGGGAGTCGCAGGGGCGCGCCCCCTCGAGGCCAAGGAGCTCGTCCCAGCCCCGCCCCCAGGCCCCGCCTCTCCTCCATCTGGCCCCGCCCCCGCTGCGCTGAGGCACCTGGGGGGTCTGCAGGCACGAGGTGGGTGGGGCCAAGGTTTCCCCGCCCCTCGGTCTTTCATTCCCTTCTTTAGCCTGCGCGAAGCGACATCGGGTGGGCGAGGTGTGGGCGTGGCTTGGCAGGGCCCGCCTCTCTCCGGGCTCGGCGTTTGAGACCCCAGGACCCGGTGAGCAGCGGCTGAGCAGGATTGATGGGCGGGGCCAGGTTAGGCCCCGCCCCCGAAGCAGTCCCCGCCGGCCGTGTGGTTCGCGGGCGGACAGGGGCGTGGTCTCCCGCGGCCCCGCCCATACTGGCCCCGCCCCTGTCGTGGCCGCCCTCCCCCGTCGGGCTCCGCTCGCACAGCCGGTTCCTCTTTACATAACGGCGCGAGGCGGCATGGGCTCGGGCCACCGCCTCCGCCCGGCCGCCCGCCCGGACTGTCGCGGCCCGTGGTGGCGACGGCGGCGGCAGCAGCAGCAAAGTTTCCCCGGCGGCGGCCCAGGGGCGCATCCTCCCGCAACTGTCAAGCGCTGGCGGCGGAAATGATGAGGTGCTGGCCATTTTCCGAGCCCGGGTTTCCTGCCTGAGCCCCGCTCGAGCGAGCCGCGAGCCAGGAGCCGGCGCGTGGGAGAGAACGCGCCCGGGGCGGGGGCCCGCCCGCCCCCTCGGGATTTCGGGGGGCCGGGGGCGCGCGACGCCATGGGCAGGCCGGGCCCGGACCCCCTCTCTTTCAGGTAAGCCCGCCGTTCCCGGTGCTCCCTCCTCCGGGGCTGGGAGGGCTCTAATGGGGGAAGAGGAGGCCCCCTGTCCGGTTCTGCCCGGTGTCTGCGCACTCCCACAACAGCCTGAAATACTGTCCTGCCCCTGACCCGGATGGGGTGTTCAGGGGCGGCCCTTCTCCAGCTCCTGCGACACCCTCCCAGCCGACACCCCCACCCACACACGTGTTGGGGATGTAATAGGGGAGGCCGTGGGGAAGGCGCTGATAGGGTATGGTTAATGCCCGCAGTTAATGCCCCTTAAAGTAGACCAGTCAGTCAGGGCAGCAGTCCCCCTCAACTTGTGCGTGGTGAGGAGGGGTCCAGGGTCAAGCGCTTGGGGTACTTTGAAAGTGAAAGTAGTCAAACGGAGGCTGTGAGGTTGGAAGAGCCCTCTGGGAGTGGGGCCACCTGTCCCTCCCCACTCTCCCAGCCCAAGCCATGTGGCTATGAGTGTTATCTCTGGATTCTAGAAGCCCCTCTCCACACCCCACACCTCAGCGGTGGGCCAGGCCAGGTGCCCCCAAGTCACTGAGTTTGGGGTTTCACAAGGGTTCAAGGGTCCCAGAGCACAGTTCTCTTTGAGCTGGTGCCCTCACACCCCAGACCTGGAGCCCAGGTGAATCCTCCCATCCAAAAATAAGGGGGGATGGGAGTGGTATTGCCTTATAGGTCAGCATGGCTGGGAGGGCAATGTCAGAGGCCTTTAATGCTTGGTGGAGAAATCCCCTCCCTTCCCTCCCTCTGACTATGGGGGCTTTTGGGATGATGGGGACTGCATTTGAGGAACTGGGGAGGGGGGGTCTGCCTGCCTGTCCTGCTTTTTTTTTTTTTTCTTTAATTTCCTCATTCTCCTGTTTCTCTTCCCCATTCCCGGCCACTATGATGTAGGTGAGGAGGTCACTGCCTGCAGCTGGAGGCCTCCAGGGAGGGGCATGGCCAGGCCTGACTGAGTGGGAGGAAGTGAAATTGGGCTGCGGGTGGGGGCTCCGGAGCAGAGGGCCTGGCAAGGCGATGTCTGCAGGGCCAAGGTCCAGCTTTGGGAGCAGGAGGGGCTGAGATCTGACCCCCACGCCCCTCGCCTGGGAGAGGAGCATCCCCTGACACCCACCAGCTGCCAGGCTCAGCTAGGGCAGCCAGCCCATCCTGCCTCCCCGTTTATAATCCAGCCGCAGGGCCCCTGCCAGGCAATGGGCACATGGGTCTCCAGGGCTGTGGGCGCGAGTCATGTCTGGCTTTCCCATCACTGACCTGGCTGTCAGAGCGGAAACAGCTCTGCAGGCTCCCTGGGGCTGCGGGGGCTGGAGACCCAGCCCAAATTGGGGGAGAGCAGGCAGAGGCCGCCTGGGCGGGTTGGGGTCAGCAGATGAGAGGCCAGGGCCCGCTTGGGAAGTTGGAAGGGTTTTTAATACACTTTTTCTGAGCCTTTTCCCACAACGCTCCTCTGGGAGGGAAAATCCTTCTGAGCCAAAGGGTGAACATTCCTAGAACTTGTGTGAGTCCCTGTGGACCACAGAGCCAGCCAGCTGGGAAGGGGCTGGACTGAAGTACCAGCTGCTGGGGTTTGAGGACCTGCAGGGGCTCAGCATAGGTCCCATGCTCCTACGGCTTCTGTCCAGCTGAGGACATGGGCAAGTGACACCTGTGAACCTCAGTTTCCCCCCATGTGAAATGGGATAATAACAGGTCTGTGGTAGGGATTTAATGAGCCAGTGTATGAAAAGCACCTGCTGCCTGGCAGAGAGAGGGTTAAATTACAGGTGGTGGTGGTGATTTTCTATCATTACCATCATTAGCGTGAGTTTGCTGGCTGCGGAATGCTTGTCCATCAGCATCCCTCGAGCACCTCCAGCATCTGTGCGGCTCTGGGGGGTCATGAGTCTTTGGGAGAAGAATTGCGAAGATGCAGGCAGGGTGAGGTGGGGGTGCTTCCTTGCTGTGAGGCCTTGTTTAACCGTCCCTCTCAGTTTCCTCACCTGTCAAATGGATGTAATAAGAGTATCTAACTCTTAGGATCATTGGAACCATATGAGTGAATTTGCAAAGTGTTTAGAACATGTTGATCAGCAGTGGTAGTTGCAATAATGATAAGACTGTTATTTGCTGTGGATGTTAGCTCTGATTGTTCTCCTTCCTGATCCTCCCAACCCCCGTTCCTATGAACCCTGGGCTTGATCCTTCCTGATAGATAGAACTTTCTAGTACAAATCGGTTCTGTGGAACAATCCAGATATGGGGGTAGCCTGGGTCCAGCAGGCACAGGGTAGCCCTGCAGCAGTTCAGCCTTTGGGGGCCCTTGGATATCTTGGTCAAGCCGTGTTACCCCAGGACACCCTCCATCTCCTGGATGGAGCCTCCCCAAGGGCAGAGGGGGTAGGGCTGGAGGCACTTGGAGAGACCTCCCAGTCCGACGCACCCCACGTTTGCGGGGGGGTGGGTGGAGATATACATAAACCACTCAGTGCTGGGCCTCACCTGACAATAATAGATGATATTATTATTAATATTATTAAATGAGATGCCTCTCCTGTTAAATTCCCACTTCTCCCTGGTAGCAACATGGGTTTGGAGCCAAATCCAGGATCTGCCAGGTTCTAACTGTGAGGCCTAGGGCAAATTATCTGACCTCTCTGGACCTCATCTACTCAATGGGGACCAAGAGTCCCAGCCTCTCTGGGGTATATGAGCCTGTGTGTAAGCCTCATACATATGGAGTGTATGAGCCTGGCCCAGTGTAGGGACTTGAACTGTGTTGGCCGTAATTGCTATGGCTCTGGGCCCCTGGCCTTGTCCCTTAACCTCTGAGCTCCACTATCCTCCTCTATGACATGGGAGTACTAATGACTGCACGATAGGATTGTGTTGAAAAGAGGCATGCATAATGCCTGGCATGCAGTCAGTGCTCAATAAGTGTGCAGGGCTCAACTAGTGCCCCAGAGGGGGCTAGCACTTAATTGCCAGGTTTCCTGGGAAAATGGTCCCAAGGGCCCCCCCTCCGCCTGCCCCCCGGGGGTTCAGCATCTTTGGCTGGGTGGGGCAGGAAGCTGCTTCCATCTGGCAGATGGGCGAAGCCTGCCTTGGAGTCCAGAGGTGTAATACAAGTTTCTTGTTCCCAGCCAGACCCTGTTCCCAGCTACCCGCCCTCCCTGAGGAAACTGAGGCGGGCAGTCTGCCCGGGGGAAGTGACTCAGCTGGGGTCACTCGCTGAGTCAGGCCTAATTGGACCCAGGAGCCCTGCGCCCCAGCTCCCTAGCTTCCGGGGGCCTGCAGTCCCTTGGAAACTGGGCAGGTCCAAAGGCCACAGCGGGACACCGGCTCACTTGGGCCCTGACCCCTGGGCAGCCACCATTCCTCAGCCAGGGCTCCAAGGTCCCACTGGCCACCACTGGGCTTCTCGACCTGGTAGTCTTCTTCCCAGTAGGGGCAAGGGGCACTTCCCCAGGAGAGCAAGTCCTCCTGGTGTCTCCCGGCCCCGCCCCGACCGGAAACCCAGCAGCTGAGCAGATGGCTGGAAGATTTTTCCTCCCACGCCACCCTGTCAGGGGTCGGCGAGGGGGGCCAGGCTGCAGGCTTCCTTGTGAGCCAGGCCGGGAGCCCCTGGGGGCCTGCCCGGATGTGGGCCCCCACCCCGGTTGGTGGGGGTTGGAGGCTGCCTCTGCCCCATGTGTCCCCAGGGAGGCTTGGGAGGGAGGAAGTCTATGCCCTGCTCACCGGGAGCTGACTCACAGGGTGCCTGATGGAGGTGCTGGCCTTGTGGAGGTGGAGCACTGGAAATGTGGTTGGGGGAGAGGGTCACAAAAGAGGGCCTTTGGCAAGAATATGCCCTCTGAGAGCTGGCCCTCTGTGTCCTCTCACAGAGAAGGCGAGGAGTGTGGGGAGAGGTTCACCCTTCCTGACACGGCAAAGCACCATTGCAGGGTGCAGGGCTCGCTGAGGGTCTCCCCCCACCCCCCGCAGAGTCTCACCCTTCTCTCCTCAACTCAGGGGCAGTGAAAATAAGTCACGTGTGGGGATGGGGGGGCGGGCTGGGGCTGGCGAGTCCTGCCCATTCTTGGGGGGATAGTCCCTGGCTTTCTCCTGAAGCCTAGCTGGGTAGGTGGTCGGGGTGTCAGGCTGGGCATGGGGACAGAGGAAGCTGGAGGACATTTCCTGTTCTGGCAGACTGTGCCAGCCTGATAAATGTCCCTGGGCACTAGGTGACCCTAGAGAGGGTGCATCAGGACTCCATTGACTGCCCAGTGATCTAGAGCAGAACCTACCTCTCAGCCTCCCCAGGACTTCAGAACCTTCACTCCCTACTTCCCATGGGCTTCTCCACAGTTTAGACAGCCTGAATGGTGTGAAAGGGCAGTGGGCTGATTGCCAGGCTGTGTGTGTTGGAATCCCCCCCAACTCTCTGGGCTTCCTTGGGCAGAGGGTCTGGGTGCTGGAGAAGTTGGTGCTGTAGGTGGGAAAAGTTGAAATGCTTGCTGTGGCCTGTAGTCAACCTGGAGGCCTCCCTGGAGGAGGTGTCTCCCTCTGAAGGTATGGGACTTCCTGCCCAAACATCTGTGAGTTGGGGCCAGGGGAAGCTGTGGACCTGGGGGAGGATGGAAGCTCTGGACTGGCTCATTTTAACTTCATTTACCACAATTTAAACTATCCTCCCCAAGCCTTGGCAGGTGGAATTCCACAGGTGGGTAAAGGCCTTCTCCACACCTGGGCCTGATAATTAAATGGGAAATGTTAGCTTCCCCAGGTTACATTGTTACCCAGGGTAATTGGATAGAGGAGGGGCTGAGGAGCCCCAGTCTCTGGAGTCATGGGTTAGAGTGGGCTCCACAGCTCAGATTCTCTGCTTAGAGTCAGGATTTCCAGCTGTTCAGTGCCTCATTTCTCTCCGACTTGGTAGAGGCTCTAGGGCCCCTTAGGATGGATATGCTTGAACAGAGGACACCAAGCTTGGGCTAAGGCTTTAAGGCCCTCACCAGGTTGCC